GGTCTTTTTCATAGGAAAACCATGTAACGTCTGTGTTAGGCTGGTCAAAAGAGCAATTAGTTGAATTATTCTGGAAAAGATGGGTTGTGTTTTTTTTCTTCTGTTATTTACTTATGTAAATATATTTTCAAGGGTTAAATAAATGCAACATTAAATTAACAGTTGTCTCTCTGTCTTTTCCCGCCCAGTGTGGTGCATTGCTGTCCTCCTGCCCTTGCTGGCCGCGCTGACAGTGTGATGTAGCCTCAGTTCTTTGACAGACAAGACAAAACAGCAGGTAAAAAGACATATTTAGTGAGAATAAAGGTAGACAACATTTTTTTGGACATTTAAAGACTGCTAAAACAATCTAACCCAGTTTTTTTGGCCTGCCCCCACCTTATGTGAGGTTCAAGAGCATTGGCCATTTCTTTTTACTAAAAGAGGCCTCTGCACTCACTTCCACACACTCACAGATATTGAGGTAGAGACACGTCTCAGTGAAGCCCTTCTTACGAAAGGAAGGAGAATTTTGAACTTCTTTCAAAGCCAGAGACTTCAGTGGAACAAGGAGACTGAACATCTGCTACGTGAGTGCGACAGTGCAAAGCTGAACCACAACCAGAGACTGAACATCTGCTACGTGAGTGCGGCAGTGCAAAGCTGAACCACAACCAGATCGCCACAGCAGCCATCCTTCTTCTGATGAAGTACTTCCAAGAAAAAGAGGACTCAATCTTCATCTTGGCTGACGTAATTATATTTAAAATTTTACACATGCACTCTCAATACTGCCAGCATAAACAAAGGAAAAATATTTCAATGATTTTGGGTATCATCATTCAAATCAGTTCCTTTTGTGTTTTAAAGGCTTTTTCCACCAAGATGTCTGTTGAGAGAGAGATGACCTTACCCATCACACCAAGGGCAATAGCGCTTGGTAAGTAAATAGTTTCAATCCTCTTGTAATAAAAATCTATGTAATTATTGTGGTATTTGTACCCACAGCAACTTAACAGGTGTTTGTCTGTTTTATATTGTATAAAAACAGAATACACACAGTTTGCTGCTGTTTCTCTTATTATTTATTATACACAATGACCAACAGGAAAAAACAGCCTAACATTTCAGCACAGGCCAAAATGCCAAAACATTAGGCAGTTTTTCCTGTAATTGATCATAATTTTCATTACATAATAAATAATAAGAGAAATAGCAGCAAACCGTGTGGATTCTATTTTTGTACAGTGTGAGGCCTGCTATCCAGCATTCTTGTGGAAACCTTATTTGTAAGGGTGAGCACATTGTCTTATTGGACTCTTGTCTGTTTTTAGGGAATAATTTCATGTCTGCAAGCCGCTGGATGATCAGTTTGGAGGGCAAGGTATTTTATGAGCCTGAGCACATGCATGACTTTGCCAGCACCCTTGCTGTCTTCTTTGTGTCATACTACGTTTTCAACCTTGAGTATCAGGAGTCAGCGTCCATCACACTGGAGATGATACAGAGGTAAATACTTTACACCATTTAAGAATGAAATATATGTGATAGCTTGACTACAGTTGCAGAAACATATAGGTGATTGCTGTAACGTATGTTTTAATTTTGAAATTAAAGCAGCCTTTTTTCCGTTAAAAGGTTCTTTGTGAGGATCAATCCAGACATGGGAACAAAATGCTTTGCAAAACTTGGTACAAGCCGCAAGACAGGTCGTGTCGTAAAGAGGAAGGTTACAAGCATCAGCCCTCGGATCACCACCTTCCTCCAGCGGCTCTCTGAGTTTGAATGGAGGACTTCCAACTAGGTAAGAACAGAGATGATAATATATTTTACATAGCTGATAATTATATACATACTGTACACACATCCATACGACAGTATGAATGATCTCAGACAGATGTGAACAAGTGAATAACCTGAGCAAACATGAATATTGATGATGTGTCTTTGACAGGTGGTGATAAAGACTACGCTGAACCCGACCATCCTGGTAACGGAAATCTAAATCCCATGTCACATTCTATTTCCTGGGACCCACTGATAATTATTACATTTTGTAAATGAGTTTTGTTTTACATGTAATAGTTTATTTAATGTTCATGCTGGTGGGTTTGTCCTGTTTTCAATGAAAAACTGTTTTGCTTAAAAAAATCAGACACAGAAAGGTGAAGGACTGTGTAGTTTTCATGTACGCTTCTATTTATTTTGGTTATTGACATTGTTTTTATTCAGTTGAAAAATGTTTTCCTTGTTAAAAAAAATATCAACAATAAATGTTGGTTTAATTCACTATCCTGAGACTACTTTATTGAATTATATTGTTTTTGGTAAATGTTCTTATATTGAATATGAATGTTAATATTATTTTATATGCTGTAAAACACAATTACAGTCTAAACAAATTATACTGTACACAATTACAGTGTTATACCATAAACCACATTTGCAGTACAGTGATACTATAAAACGTAATCACGGTAAGTCTTTCTAACTGTGAACCACGTTTACAGTAAAGCTGTTATACTGTAATATATGTTTACAGTAAAGTGGTTGAACTGTAAAACATCACAACAGTAAAGATACTGTAGATCAGTAATTACAGTAACTTACTGGCCAGTAACTTACTGGCCAGTAAGTTACTGTAAAAATACAATAAAATGTCTAACAGTGTAGAAGTGTGAACAGCCGTGTTGGGGGGATGTGGGGTCTTTGAGGATGGAGGCAGCTCTCCTCTGGATTCTGCGATGGTGGATGCAGAGGGCAGCGGGGTCCTGATCATCTTCTCTGCAGGCGTTTGGTCCATAGCAGTAGTGCTGCCGTACCATGCAGTGATGCAGCTGGTCAGTGTGCTCTCCACAGTGCAGCTGTAGAAGCTGCTGAGGATCTTGGGAATGAGTTTGTGAGGGATGACTGTATTGTATGGAACGCCAGGACTGCCATAATGAATTAATTAAATACACCATTAAATAATTAATTAAATGTGTCAATAATTAATTAAAATTGGAATTAATTAATTAAATAAATAGTTATGACACATGTAATTAATTAATTATTGACACATTTAATTAATTATTTATGTATTTCACATTTTAATTAATTATTGACACATTTAATTAATTATTGACACATTTAATTAATTATTTAATGATATATTTATTTATTTCATTTTGGCAGTCCTGACGCCTGGCTCTCGTCATGAAATAATTTTATCTGTCAGCCTCACCCATCAAACTCAGGGGGCGGGGTTAACGCTGCCCATGCAGCTTCTCTAACATTTGATTGGTTGCCGTGCAAAGTAAGTCAAAACAGGTCGATCCTAGATAATCGATTGCTTGTGTAGACTTGGGGCAGCCAGGTATCCCAGAATGCAGATCAAATCACAGGCCGTTTTTCTGTCACCAGCTACACTTTTAACAGTGTTTTAGCTGCGAATGTCGGTATGTCTGGTCAGGTTGTCAACATAGAACATGTTTGCAAAAGTGCTCAGATGTTTTCAGAGATTTCACTAGCTCTGCTAACAGTTAGCATGCAGAGCGCACCCAGGGGTTACGTTAACCGGTTTGTTTACATATTCCACTCTCCGTGTTCCACATGTTGCATTCGCAGATTCTCATTTTCACCGAACGATCGTCTCTTTCCGCCTGGTCTTGTGTCTCTGTGCTTCTGTAACATAAAGAACGAGCTGACATTTTTCTCACGAAACCAGCGATCAGCTCAACAGACCCTCAGTTTACCTGCATGTATCCTCCTCCTCATCTGTCAGCTGTTTAACACCTGCTGCTAATTCAAGAAACACGCCTAGTTACCTGGTGATAGTCACAGTTTAACTGGGCAGCCGGTGCTCAATATAAAGCAATGTCAGCGCATTTTTCTGCACAAGATAAGTAAATATAGTGTTTTCCCCGAGCGCAGAGCTGCTGGAGCTTGTTTCCTTACAGAGCATTTTATAGGCGAACAGCTTTATCAGCGGCTGATGTCCAATCACCAGCACACAGCTTTCAAACCTCAGCTGAGTTTTAGCTCTCAGTGGTTAAACGCTGGACTTCATTCACTCAGGTTCTGTCTGTCGGGTCACGTTTACTTCGCTGTTTTATTTACAACTGAGCAAATCGGTTTGGCTGAGGTTAAAGTTACGTTTCATAACTGCATAGTTTCACAAACGTTTAATGAACCACTGGCACATGTGTTAGACTGAACTATCATCTAAATATCATCTGTTTTTAATAGTTATTCAACTGTATTCTGAGCACCAGCTGTCTGTTAGAATGTGATTTTTTCTCTCTCTGTTGGCAGAGGTATAAAAATGCGCAGGAAAATCTGACGTGCATGGCAAACTTCACCGACGATATTTAGGGAGGAATAAACACACGTCAAACATAAATGAACCATTTGCCTGTCTCCATAATTGAGAGAATTTTCTCTTCTTATGTCAACACTCTCTCTCTCTCTTTTTTTTTTTTTTTTTTTTTTTTTGCTTTTTCGGTCATGTTATGTTTACCTGTCAAAGGCTTGTTACAAACTATGAAACACATTGTGCAGACTTCTGGATGTTAGAAGAAAACGAATACTGCTCATGAATGAGACTAAAGGCAGGAAGGTGTCCTTTAAAACTAAACATGTTAATAGGACCTCCCTGTTTATATCATAGTTTAAGATATAGCACGTGTATTTCAGTAATAGCCTGCTGAGGCCACTATACGTGCTGGCCTCATATCAAATGTGAAGGCAGACTGAGTCTATGTTTGACGTTTTTTATATCTAATCTTCCTTTTCAAACATTTAAACAGCAGCGAGTCTGCAGCTGAGGGAACACAAATTCAAATTGTCGGAACAGGTTTGCTCGTTTCTTGGATTCATTTGGTGATTTATTAAATGTATAACTGTGTGGTGGGGCGTGGTCTGCGGTGCCGTGCAGGGAGGGCGGACGCACCTGCACGGCATCCTTAATCACGCCCGCCTAGTTAAAAACACGGGGACTGAGGGGTTTGGGGGTGTTGTGGTGTGGTGAGATGTAAATAAAGATGACTCTGAACGTTGCTCCGTGGTCCCGCCGTGTCTTATTCACGCCACATTGGTGCCGAAACCCAGGAGGCAGCACGGCGGGTCCATATCGGAGCCAGGGAATGGAGGAGCTGGCCCAGAGGGTGGCCGAAATGGCGGCCGCCCAGCGGGAGCAGGCGGCGGAGGTGCGTCGCCAGCAGGAAGAGCTGCAGGACCAGTCCGAGCGGCACCTGGAAAGGATTGGGGAGCTGGCGGCGCTGCTCTGGGCCTGGGCGCCACCCCCACAGGTGTGTCCCGAGGACAGTGAAGCGGTGGAGGAGCCGCGTGAGGCACCTCAGCAGCCGGAGGTGGCAGACGAGGCGCGCGGGGATCTGCGCCTGCCGGAGGAGGGGGAACAGCCAGGTGAAGGGCTGCTCCTGCCGGGAGTGGTGGATGAGCCGCTCCAACCGGAGGCGGCAGACGAGGTGCGCGAGGGTCTGCGCCGGTTGGAGAAAGAGGAGCTGCACGAGGGGCTGCTCGAGCCGGGAGTGGCGGCGGAGGGAGCAGTAGTGACGGAGGAGTCGCGCTATGGGCTGCTCCAGCAGGGAGCGACAGCGGTGACGGAGGGGCCGCGCAAGGAGCTGGAGGTCCCAGTGCCAGGGGAGCTTGCTCGAGTGGAACTGGCGAGCGAGGCGGGCGCCACGCTTGAGATCGCCGTGCTCGCCAGAACGGCCTCACCACCACCAGAGGCCTGTACACGCCACACCTCTGCCCAGCCACCTGTGAGCTGGGGCTCACGCTTGTGCCGGCCGCGCCGGGTGCACCTGTCACGTGTCCGACTTCCGAACCAGCTTTGCCTGCGCCGCTGGATTCGCGGGCGGCCGCCTGAACTCGCACCTCCCCGTCGCTTGGCCGGGGCCTGGGGGTGCCAGCTGTCCGGGCTGATTCCCTCTCCCACTGGCGGTGGGGGAGTAGGTTCGGCCGGATGGCTCCCCGGCCTCAATCGGGCGATGGGGTATGTGGTGGGGCGTGGGTGCAGGGAGGGCGGACGCACCTGCACGGCATCCTTAATCACGCCCGCCTAGTTAAAAACACGGGGACTGAGGGGTTTGGGGGTGTTGTGGTGTGGTGAGATGTAAATAAAGATGACTCTGAACGTTGCTCCGTGGTCCCGCCGTGTCTTATTCACGCCACAAACTGTTATTCTAATCTGCTGCTGAGTCTCTTACACTTTTCTTTATGCTGTATATTTTCACGTCTCTGGAATAGTTGGCAGTTAGTCAGCTGGGAAACTTTGTGTTAACTCATGGAGCTGAGGATATCGTGGATATGCTGACCTCGCTGCGTGGTGTACAGAGCGAGGTCAGCATGATTAATATTCACAATAAAAATATTAGCCGAACATCATGAAGTCTGTATGTGTTTCATAGTGTGGAACAACCTTTGTACAGTTAAAGCCAGCAGTTACTACATGACGGAAACACCAACGTTATCTCTTTTATGTGTTTATACACAGGTCACGCTGATTACTGAACAAAACCCCAAAGATCAGATGTTAAACAGATTTATTTGCTCTCTCTCCTCCTTAAACATGTTTTTAATCTTAGTTATAATTCAGACTGAAACACGTAGGACACATAAGAACATCAGGAAATAAAACACCGATAAATATAACCTCAGTAAAAGAAGTCAGCGGGGGTTACTACAGCTGTGTACCGGGGCCTGCGCTTTGTCGGTGGGATTGCTTGCGAGGCGAGCGGGTCTATCCCACGCTTTGCCGTGAGACTGGGACGACATCTCCGAAATCATCGAAACACTTTTGCAAAGAGGCTGTATCTTGACAAACCGACCAGACACATGAAGATTAAACCACTACATTCTCGGCTAAAAAAATATTAAAACGGTATTTGGTAACACACAAACAGGGTTTTTCAAAGCTCAGGGGCCCGTTCTTCGTACCTCGCTAAGTAGGTTAGCCGGATTAGATTGTTGACGATTTCGCGTGATCCTGGATCAGTCGGTTCCCCGAAGCTCATCCGGGACTTGCTGTCATAGCAACAGAGCCGTAAGCGTAAACCTGCTCGGGAGCAGGTTTACTTTATGTAAACAGGATTAGATCGCGGCCACGCAGGTATGTCCGCTTCATTTATACGAAAGCAACAGCGATATTTTTCCACTGTTTCACCATAAATAAATATTATCAATGTAACTAAAGGTAATGCAGCACTTGATCCTTTTATTGATGTCACACAGATACATACAGGTCATTTCCTAAAAAAGGGAAATGAACTATTAACATTCTATTACATGTATGTGATTATTACAGATTTCATTCATATTTCAGAGTAGTAATTGTAATTACTTCGTGTAATCAAGATGGGAGACCACGGCTATAAAAGCGAAGGTGGATTTGGGAAGCCTGTCGCAGTCATGTCCTGTCCGTATACGCGACCAACCCATTGCGGAAGGTGCAAGATTGATAAGGAGAGTCCTCAGAATTCAGCGTATATTGCGGGACAGACAGGATCCTTTAGCTCAGCGCAACAGTGTGCTCATAGAGAGATATCGATTTTCCCGTGAGGGTATTATTTACTTAACCAACTTGTTGACGAGGGGGTGCAGGACCACCACCTGTCTTTTTTTCCTCTGCCCTTTTCTTGGTTGCTGTTATGAACAAACTAACAGAGTATTACAGGCCAGTATTACCTTGCCAAGAGACGCAAAGCAATCTAAGAGATAAATATTACCATTCTGTAGAATACTCCTGTATTCCACTTTTACTTGTTCCCATTTTCTTGTGGGTCCTGTTGTGGCTCTAATGTGAAAGGGGATATAATATAACATATTATAATATAATATAATGCCATATGATATCGGACAATATAGTGTCATATGATAGATCTACCCTACCGCCTACTGGTGTTGGCCAGAGGGGCCGATGGCGCAATATGGCAGCCTGGCTACAACCGTAGCTGCCTCCACCAGTGTGTGAATGTGGGAGTGAATGAATAGTGGTATCGTAAAGCGCTTTGGGTGCCTTGGAAAGCGCTATATAAATCCAATCCATTATTATTATTATTATTATTAAATTACCTACGAGTTTGATTTGTCAGCAACTTTCTGCCAGCCCTCTCTCCTTGCTTTTGCAGCCTTTGCAGTGTTCTCTTGCGTTTTAATTAAACTCTGAAACTCCTGAAATCCCTCACTCATGAGTTCTTGCTCTGCTGCCGGAAAATACCGAGCACGCCCCTTCGACATTTTCGCCGACCAATCAAAGGGTTGCCGATCAATGTTTCTACTATCGATGCGTAGCCCCTTTTACGACGCCCAGTGATGTCACATTCCTGCGTCCAGCTGTAGTAATCGTCAACAGCAGGTGTGTTCGGGGAACCGGATTAGCGAGCTCACGGTTAGCGCGATGATTTGATCTTGGATGTGTCATTTGATCTTGGATGTAGTAAGCGACGTACGAAGAACGGGCCCCAGTTCTGTTAGCTTCCACATGCCGGTTGTTGTGTGCTAGAAACAATGGCCACCAGGCCAAAGCAATGGTTTTGACTCGATCAGCGTTAACCCCGCCCCTGAGTTTGATGGGTGAGGCTGACAGATAAAATTATTTCATGATGAGAGCCAGGCGTCAGGACTGCCAAAATGAAATAAATAAATATATCATTAAATCATTAATTAAATGTGTCAATAATTAATTAAATGTGTCAATAATTAATTAAAATGTGAAATACATAAATAATTAATTAAATATGTCAATAATTAATTAATTAAATGTGTCAATAATTAATTAAAACGTGAAATACATAAATAATTAATTAAATGTGTCAATAATTAATTAATTACATATATCATAACTATTTATTTAATTAATTAATTCCAATTTTAATTAATTATTGCCACATTTAATTAATTATTTAATGGTGTATTTAATTAATTCATTATGGCAGTCCTGGCGTTCCATAGTATTGAAGGCGGAGCTATAATCAACAAAAAGCACCCCGAGGTCTTTGTTTTCCAGGTGGGAGAGGGAGTAGTGAGGGGCAGCAGCGATGGCGTCTGACGTGGACCTATTGGGCCGGTAGGCAGACTGCAGGGGGTCCAGAGTGTCTGGGATGTTGCTCTGGATGTAGGCCAGCACCACTCTCTCTCTCAAAGCACTTTGCAATGATGGGAGTCAGTGCGACTGGTCTGCAGGCGTTTAGTGGCTGGGCTTTTCTTGGGGAGGGGCATGATGGTTGTGGTCTTGAAGCATGTGGGGATAGTGCTCTGTGTGGGAGTCAAATTGTTAAATGTTGTCATTGTGTTACTTAAGTTTGTAAGTCTTGGTTCAAGCAGCCTGATCAAAGACGTTCCTTTGTCTCTGACCACCTCTCCAGCCAGTTTGTTGGTGGGGAGGCTGCAGTGTTTTGTTATAGGCACATCTATGTGAGGGCTCTGTTTGCTGCTTAGTAAGCTTCCTGCTTTATCATCCTTTTGTGGGCAGGAGGTCACACAAACGCACCCCAAACACACACACACACATAGTGCCATATGTTTGTTGACCATAGGGGGGTTACAATGGGTGATGCTTGTGTGTACTGTAACTGTGTTCAGTAAAAGGTCGTCTGTGGGTGGATTCAGTGCTTTCCTGACACACCGAGCGGTCCTCCCTTGCTAGCAAGTAAAAGCTGTTCGTCTTGTTTCGTTAACAGGAACAAGTTTGTAAACCAGCGGGGCCTGTGGAAGCACAGACACAACACTCTGGCTGAGGAAAGGTTGAAGATGGAGGTGAGAACGTGGACTAACTCTGAATGCAGAGCTGGTTTGGAGCTGTGGAGACTTACTGAGGAGTAAAGTGGACATGAAGGAGTCACAGAGGGAGCAGGAGGTGAACAGTGATGTTTGTTAGACATGATCAGACTGAAGAGGGAACATAAGAAGAGTTTCATGCTGGATTTGAACAGGACAGGAAGATAAGCTCCGCCCAGCAGCTGAGTCCTCTCTGCTCACACTGGTGTTGGACTGCAACATCAGGGAGTCTGCTTCCACATCTGGTTTCCACAGCTGGAGGAAGCTGTCCCACGAGCACGCCTACGCCCCTCTGTCATTACTGAAGTAGTGATGGTGTTTAATCAGTGTGAGACTGTTTCACTGGTCCAAGCAGAGATTTACATAAATGAGCTTTTATGAGTTCTTATATTATCTGATCAGGCCGTTTGCTCCTGTTAAAGAGAAATGTGCATCGAACGTTGTGGGTATTCATGAGTCTAACAGTTTAAACCTGTGTGTGACGTTGTGTCCTTGAACGGCCCTGACAGACGGCTGTAGTCCATAATATTAATGTTTCCTGCTGACTGAAATAAGCAGCTGAGCTCTGTGAGGGCAGAGCTGCTGCTAACAGGTGAGTCTGTTACCTGGACTGGACTGAGTGAGCTGCTGTGTCACAGCTTTATCAGTGACACACTCAGCATGTGTGTGTGTGATATGTCATAGTGCTTGAAACACACATGAAAATATATTAAAGGTTGAATCTTTGTTCTTTTGGTTTGTGGAACAAAAATCGTGAGCGTAAAAAAAAAGCTGTAGTGCCTTTCACTGTGCAACACTTTTGTTAATATCCAACGGTGCAAAAGACTCACATTACTTGAAATGTGCAATTCCCTTGCAATATTCTTATTTACTCTATGATCCCTTCTGTATACTCTGTATTTATACATGTGTATATTATTATATATGTATGTATATATTTCAGCTCACATTCTGTGACTTCTGTCGGTGCTGTGCTATTAGAACCCACCCGAGGGACTAATAAAGTTTTATCTAATCTAAAAACTTGGTGTAGAAGTGCAACAAACGTAAGCCGGCTCATCCGATGGTGTGACGCTTGAAAAGGATTTGCGCACCTACATCATTATTTACGGTTTAAATTGTGCTGCCTTTAGGTGCACCTGGTAAATTCAGGAATCTCTACTCCAAACCACAGCAGTTAGTCAGTTAGTTAGTCACACAGTCAGTTAGCTTTGTATAAACACGTGTTAGAAATGTTCTTCAATCAGCTCTTTTTACTCTCATTTCACAGCCACTACTTTTTACTTTTACTTGAGTAAAGAAGCTGAATTAGTACTTGGAGTATTTTTAACAGTAGTACTTCTACTTCAGTACAGACTGTGTGTACTTTTACCACCTGTGTCTGAGACCTCCTTCAGGGTCCACCTGAAGCTCTCAAGCTCTGTCCCAGTTCAGGGTCTGCACGCTTGAAGTACACATTTTAAGTGCGGTTACGTCACCGCCACGCGACGACGGCTGTCCCAATTCGAAGTGTACTTCAAATGCGTCGTCGATTTCCCCAAATATCAAGCGTGGTCCGGTGCACGCTTCGTGGTCCCATATATCCCACGATTCATAGCGCAGCGGTGGGTGTGGATAATTTTGCCGCAAAATACGGCAGAAGGGAGTGGCTGAAGAGGGTTTTTTTTTTTCAAAACTTTATTGAACTTATAAAGCGAACAGTCAGACATTCTAGTTCAGTTTGTACAGTAGACATACAAGGCAAATAAGAGTAACAATATACAGTACAGTGAAATAAGAAGGATGAATAAATAAAAGATAAAAAAAGAAGAAAGGGGGGGAATGTGACAGACTTCATAACAACTTTGTACTTGAAAGTTGTGACAGCTCATTCGTTAAACATTTCTGGATGAACTTCAATCAATGAGAAACCTTTTTTATTGGAAGTTAATTTAAGAGAGTTTAAGTAATATTCAATTTCAATCAAAAACAAATTAAATGATGGGGTTGAGTTTAGAAATTGACATTTATGTATGTGGAATTTCCCTAATAAGATGGAGCGGCCGAAGAGTGAACTGTCAAAAGTACTGAATATGACGTCACTTATTTATGTGCGAATGTTTAATAATTAAAGTCAGTCATATATCCACAAACACAACAAGCTGAAAGTCAGTGATATATGTATATGTATGATATATGTATGTGTATGATATATGTATGTGTATGATATATGTATGTGTATGATATATGTATGTGTATGATATATGTATATGTATGATATATGTATATGTATGATATATGTATATGTATGATATATGTATGTGTATGATATATGTATGTGTATGATATATGTATGTGTATGATATATGTATGTGTATGATATATGTATGTGTATGATATATGTATGTGTATGATATATGTATAGCCTTTGAATTGGGACAGCCTTCGTCGCGTCGCTCTGATGTAATCGGCCTTTAAGGCTGCAGACCCTGAATTGGGATTAATTGAATAACTTATTTAAGGTCTGGGCAAAAATCATCTACTAAAAAAAAAAAAAAAATCATCTAATTATCTACTGTTTTTTTAAATCAATTTTAAATCGTTCTTTTTATTTGTTTTTGTTTTTTAATGTCTCTGTAAAGCACTTTGAATCACCTTGTTGTTTAATTGTGCTATATAAATAAACTTGCTTTGCCTTGCCTTATTGTATATGCACCTGATTGTTGTTGGAACACTTTAAAGTATTTGTACAGATAATACCTGAGTTTACTTTTGCTTCATTTCATGTAAAGCTTGTATAGATTTGGTGTTTGGAAAGATCTTGGACATGAACAGTTTCTCTAAGTTCTAAAAATGATTCATTAAACATGTTTGTGGCTTTCACAGTAAAAATCAGACTTTTCTACTGTCAGCTGGGAGGACTTCAGTGAGCCTCCAAACATAGCGGCTGCTTAGTTTTCCACACATCTGTACACATCTGTATGTTTCAGCTTTGTCCTTCAGTCACAACATGGTTCATCTTCATCTTAACTTCCTGCTTCTATCGTGGTTAAAGCTGATGAATTCTCCGGACATCAAACACTGATGGTGTTACTGGAGCTGAGTGAAGTTTGATGGCTTTATTATCCACATTGTGACACATGGCAGCTGTCAGAGCAGAACACAGGAAGTCAGCAGGTGTGTTTCAATTCAGCCTCTGCTTCCTCTGAAGGTCCATGACATCACAGCGAGGCCACGAAGGCCGTCCAGAATCCCAGTCTCCCACAAACCTGTCCTCCTTCTCCCTGGATTTGAAGGACAGGTGGGCCCACCCTATCCCAAGATGCATTGCAGCGTGGTGGTGGAACATATATTACGGTCCAGAGATGGAGCAGCGCTCTCTCTGAGTCTTTGAGGCTGTTTTCTGTTTGAGTCTGGCTTCAGTCTAATTTAGCAGCTGTGACATCAGAGATTGTAGGGGAGGAACAGCCACGCCCACAGGTGAGTTTTCCACCCAGAAACAGAGCGTGAACATCACCTCTGTCTGCGCTGTGTTGGTCACAAGGTTCTGGGCTTTTAAGTGGAGGCTGGAGCTTGTGAGTGATGGAAGCTGAGAGCTGTGTTTGCACATGCTCAGTGTGACAGGATGTTAGCTGCTGTGTTTGCACATGCTCAGTGTGACAGGATGTTGGCTGCTGTGTTTGCACATGCTCAGTGTAACAGGATGTTGGCTGCTGTGTTTGCACATGCTCAGTGTGACAGGATGTTGGCTGCTGTGTTTGCACATGCTCAGTGTGACAGGATGTTGGCTGCTGTGTTTGCACATGCTCAGTGTGACATGATGTTGGCTGCTGTGTTTGCACATGCTCAGTGTGACAGGATGTTGGCTGCTGTGTTTGCACATGCTCAGTGTGACAGGATGTTAGCTGCTGTGAAAGCTGAATGCTCTCTGGTAAGAAGTGATGTCACACATTAGGATAACTGTACTCTCTGTCAGAGTACCAGGGCCTCACTTTGACCACATGACCCTCAGTACACAGCATGATGTCAGCTGTAAACAGGAAGCAGAGGAGCAGGACTGAGGTAAACCTCTGAGGGGTCAAACTGAGACTGAGCTCCAGATGTTTCCACATGTTTCTGCTCTGCGTGTGTTTGATGATTATTTCAGGTATAGATGATGGAATATGACCAGCCTGATGTCAGCCTGCTTCTCTGACAGCGCCTCGCCTCTCTGTGCTGCCCCCTGCTGGCTCTGATCATTACTGACTGAGTCCTTGCTGCCACTTTGTTAGGTACAGCTTGCTAACACAGGCTCAGACCTTCTTTGCCTTCAGAGCTGAGCCTTAAATCTTCATGGCTCAGATTCAGCAAGGTGCTGGAAACATCCCTCAGAGTCATGTGATCAGTGACGTCAGCTTCAGCACTGACAGATAGAAAAACAGGATATATAATAGAAATCAGACGCTGATTTTCATCTTTTCAGACCTTTGTCTGGGTGCTAATCCAGCTGTGTGTGTTTGTGATGACAGTAAATAAATGTCAGACTTACAGCTCCTGCTTTACTGCATTAAAAGGATCAGATGAGTTCAGCACTTTGACATGGATGGAAGTGAAAGAAGGAAATGACAAATGTAGCAGAGCAGCAGCGTTTAACACGTCTGAGCTGGAAACAGGAACTCTGCTATGATCATCATTCATATAACAGCTTCCAGCCTCTTTTGTTCGGCTACAGTCTCGTTGGATTTGCATTTAAAGATGCAAGGAGACTGAAGTGGATAGGGTCAGGAGGTCAAAGGTCAGAGCTCCTGTGGGTCTGAGGGCAGCTTCACGCTGGAGAAGGATGAAGGAGTCTGACCTGAGCCAGTGTTGGACATGAACACATCAGCACTGCTGTCAGTGAGCCTAACGACAGCCGTTAGCATCATTTCAGTGTTTCAGTCATAAAAACACTTCCTGTCACTGTGGTGGTTACAGTGACATCATGCAGTTTGTGCTTTGACCTCCAGAGGGCGACAAATCAGCACAGACAGAGAGCTCCATTCAAACTTTGCTGCCATCAGTAATAATGCTTCAAATATAATCATCAGCAGCTATGATATCAGGGACAATCTAGACATGTGACAATACTGAACATCTCACATGACACACCTTAAACATCATGTGATCCACTCTCAGTCTGCACTTTCATTCATGACTTCAACAGGTTGAAATGAGCTTTGAAGAAACATCCGTTCAGTGCTGAAATACTCAAACGCTGCAGGAAGAAGAAGAGCAAACTGATGACGGATGTTTGTGCTTCAAACAGGAAAACTGGCAGAAATAAATCACGACCTGCCAACAATATGGGAGTTTCTGAGGTGCACCTGAACGCAGCACACAGTGTTTCGATGCTCGTGAGTGTCCTCAAACGCCTCTCTGGGTGTTTCCGTCCTGCTCAAAGTTTACTTTCACTTTCCTGAGCTTCGTGGAGTGGACCTTGTTGTTGGTGTGTAAGTTTGCTTTGTTTCCTCCTTTAACAGTTTGTCTTTAGGAACTTTACTGTTTGTTCAGCTCACGTTTGATTTCGTCACACAACAAACTGTGTGTTTGTATTTCCGGTCTCTCCATTAAAGTCAGTGTGTAACGTTTTTCAACGAGTGTGTGTCCGCCATTTTCTCTAAGTGTGTGTGATCAGATAAAACACGCTGAATGTTGCCTGAGCTCGACCGGAGAGCTCCGGGACTTTTTATTCGCAGGGACAGCAGCAGACGGAGAGCGGACATCATAAACGAATATTTTGTTTACATGTGTGTTAGGTATAGATTCAACTTGTTCTTCAAAAAAGAAGAAGAAGAAAGTGGAGACATCAACTGTTGGCTCCGCTCCAACCCTCCTGAGCTGAGCTTCAGGTTTAAACCCGCCTCCTTTCAGGAAGCAGCTCACCTGTGTGTCCGTGTTTAGTGTCCGGGTGTGGCGTGGAGCCTGTAGTTGGTGTGTGAAGAAACTCTAAGTTTGCTTTGTTTCCTTCTTTAGCAGTTTGTCTTTAGCGTTATAACAGGAAGTGGGACATTTCTATTTACATAACATAAATCAGATCAGTGAATTAGGGTGCAAATCAAATAAACTGCTGATGTATGTTAGTCTTTATATGGCTCTGTTAAATAGCATGTTGTTATTGTTGATACTTACAAAGGTCAGCTGTGCTGCATGGGGTTACTAGTTTTGTTTGTTTGAACTTTTATGAAGTATCCTTGACTAAAGCACCCAACATCATAAAAAAAGCTTGTTTCCCTCCTCATGAGTATGATGTCACATAGAGGAGGGAGCTGCTTGTGTTCTTTTTTCTTGGGTTTAACCCCAATAAGCAGCTCCCTCCACATTATAAGTCCTTCTGTATCTAATGTCTGCATATGATTCCTCATCTTCAAGCATGAGTATTGAAACTCTGACAGTTTTGCTTTGCTGTATCAAAATCCCAGGACCAAAAACATGTGAGGCTCAGCTTTGAGGTCCAAAGGGAGATCACATCTATATGAAGGCTAACATCATTTCTGACTCAAGTTAACTGAAATAACTGTTAAAAGTTTGCTCACACACCATCAACATCAAACACACAAAAATTCAAAAGATGCTAAAGCGTGTTCTTCATGTCAGAGAGCTGCTCAACATGTTTTCATGTTAGTGTCTCTAGGATTTGATAAAAAAAGCCCTGATTGAATTCACTACCCAGGTTAAGTGGAATGAGTGGAATATTTCCCAAACAGAGAAATCCAATAACAAAAGATAAGATCAGTTTCTTTTTTCTATCTTCTCTTTTCTTATGGTAGATTTATTTCTCTGAATCTCCACAGCAGCAGGTGGAGGAGATGATCATAGATTCTGTTTATAGAACCAAACTCAGTGGAAAGGCTTTCAGACATCAGTATATGCAGCCACTAAAGCTGGTAGGTCTGAATTTCCCACGAGAAAGTTCTTTCATATAAAAGGAAAAAGGAGGAGGTGAGCACTCAGGGCACAGAGACCCCCCCCCAGCACACATGATGAAAGGAGGATTTCAGTTGATGTGCACATGAATGATTTGTGTTTCCTCTGCAGGTAGAAAGTGTGTGTGAGCTGAGCAGCATGGATCAGTGTGAGGACAGAGAGGAGGGAGCCCCTCCCTCTAAAAGCACTCTGTGTGGGGAACATGAGAGCCAGACCAAAGCTCAGAGGTGAGATGACCATCTCTAACTGTCCATGACTCTTCTCCATGTCACAGCTCAGCACTCACATCACTGCTCCATCATTATTCACAGGAATGAACGAGGAACTAAATGCAAACATGAACCTGGACCCAGCTCTGTCTCCTTAAAGAGTGACCGGTCTAAAGCTGACATTATTGATTTTAAAGTCCAGCCTGTGTCTGCTGCAGAGAGGTGAGCTGTTAGTAACATGAACTCTTTGATTTAACTGCTTGATGTTGTTGGACATAAACTGTAGTGCAAACACTTCACTGCTCCATCATTATTCACAGGAACCAACGAGGAACTAAATGCAAACATGAACCTGGACCCAGCTCTGTCTCCTTAAAGAGTGACCGGTCTAAAGCTGACATTATTGATTTTAAAGTCCAGCCTGTGTCTGCTGCAGTGAGGTGAGCTGTTAGTAACATGAACTCTTTGATTTAACTGCTTGATGTTGTTGGACATAAACTGTAGTGCAAACACTTCACTGCTCCATCATTATTCACAGGAACCAACGAGGAACTAAATGCAAACATGAACCTGGACCCAGCTCTGTCTCCTTAAAGAGTGACCGGTCTAAAGCTGACATTATTGATTTTAAAGTCCAGCCTGTGTCTGCTGCAGTGAGGTGAGCTGTGAACTCTTTGATTTAACTGCTTGATGTTGTTGGATATAAACTGCAGTGCAAACACGTCATTCCCTCAATCCCCTTTAAACTGTCTCTTAAAAACAAGCCTTTGGGTTCTAAACAACTGAAAATCGCCTTAAGCAAACCAGAAGTAAAACATATTAAAAAAAAATTTGGTCTTCTCCAAAGTGGTTAATGTAGTTGTTTGGGATCCGGCTGAGGAACCTTCACATTACAAATTTTAATACTGCATGAATTACTGGAAATAAAATGCCACAACAGAATGAAATATTTGCTTTGTGAAGAAACACCAGTGAAATAAAATCATTAATTTTAAATCAGGCACGTGTCCTCCTGCAGAGAGGTAATGTGTGTGTAAATGTTGCTGTGACTCAGTGTTTGTGAATAAATCTCCATCATGTTTAATGTCAGCTCAGCTCTTTTTCACACACATTTCTATGTTCATATGTGAAGCGGTGTGTGTTGGACTGTTTCAAAAAACACAGCAATCAGAATGTACAGAATGGATGTTCTAGGAGGTGTTTCTGTTGCACACACACCCATCATGGTCAAGTGCATCGAGTGGTTCATTATGAGGTATATTAAGGCCCTGCTACCACCATCTTGGACTCATTGCAGTTTGCCTATTGCCCAAACTGGTCAACAGACGAGGCCATTGCCACCACCCTACATTTTGCTCTCAGCCACTTGGACAATAAGGACACATGTGTGAATGCTGTTCATAAACTTCAGTTCAGCATTCAACACAGTCGTTCCTCAGCACCTGATTGGAAAACTGAGCCTGCTGGGTCTGAACACCTACCGTAACTGGATCCTAGACTTTCTGATGGAGAGGCCTCAGACAGTCCAGATCGGTAACAGCATTTCCAACACCACCACACTGAGCAATGGAGCCCCTAAGGGCTCAGCTCAGCCCACTGCCGTTCACTCAGCTGACTCACAACTGTGCAGCAATGCACGGTTCAAACTACATCATCAAGTTTTCCGATGACACGACTGTGGTGGGTCTCGTCAGCATATAGAGAGGAGGTGCAATAGTTAACGGACTTGGCAAATAATTTACAGCCAAAGTATTCACTCACTGTGTCTCTACTGTTTCATTAGCTTAGCTTAGCTCGTAGCCGACTCGTTAGCACCATGGCTTCTTCACCAGTTCCTCCTGCACTTTCTTGCTCATTGTGTCAGATGTTTAGTTACTCCTCGGCCTCCTTTAGCAGTAATGATACTTGTAACAAATGTAGCATATTTGCAGCTCTGGAGGCCAGGATTACTGAATTGGAGACTTGGTTCCCCCCCGATACACCCGTAGCTAGCCAGGCCCCTGTAGCAGGCCCCTGTGCAGCCGAAGATGGCGTAGGCCCGCTACCTGTTCCCCGGCAGACCCCAAGCAGCTGGGGAAAGAGGGCGGCTGGGGAAAGAGGGCGGCTGGGTCACGGTGAGGAGGAAGCATAGTCCTAAACAGAAGCTCCAGGTACACCACCAACCCGTTCATGTGTCTAACTGTTTTTCCCCACTCGGCGACACACCCGCCGGGGGTCAAACTCTGGTAATTGGTGATTCTGTTCTCAGACATGTGAAGCTAGAGACACCGGCAACCATAGTCAATTATCTTCCAGGGGCCAGAGCAGGCGACATTGAAGGAAATTTAAAACTGCTGGCAAACTGTAAACGTAAATTCAGTAAAATTATAATTCACGTCGGCAGTAATGACACCCGGTTACGCCAATCGGAGGTCACTAAAATCAATATTGAATCGTGTGTAACTATGTCGGACTCTGTAGTTTTCTTTGGTCCCCTCCAAAATCAGACCAGGAGTGACATGTTTAGCCACATTTTCTTCTTAAACTGCTGGCTGTCTGAGTTGTGTCCAAAAAACGATGTGGGCTTCTTAGATAATTGGGAGACTTTCTGGAGGAAACCTGGTCTTTTTAAGAGAGATGTCATTCATCCCATCCTTTGGATGGAGCAGCTCTCGTTTCTAGAAATATGGACAAATTTATTAACCCCCCCCCCTCCAAAATATGACTATCCAGAGTTGGGACCAGGGAAACAGCCAGAAGCTTGATGTCTGTAGTGCACAGCTTCTCCCTCACAATGACTGTAGAGCACCAGCTGCTGTTTACATGCAGACATGCCGCCGCCATGTTGCTTATGGTGCGTTCATGGTCTCCGTCCAGATGAAGAGGTAGTGAAAAGCCATCAATGTGCAGCGTGCTGTCGTCATCACTCATGCAAGTGGTTGACGCAGGCTTGCAGCTCGTCCAGCTTGTTGCAGAGAGAACACACATTAGGTTAATGGACAGGAGTGCTCGTTGTTTGTGTGTCTCCCTCTTGAGTCTGGCTCTCACCCCTTCTTCTTTAATCCCCTCCTGGTTACCTTGTTTTTGTGAGTTTTTTGATTTCCGTGTCCAAGAGTATTTCCTCGCGAAAATAGTCTGTAGGAGCAGAGCGGAAATGCCGGAGCCTGGGCTGCAGCTGCAGCTGCAGCTGAATGAGGGACTCTCTGGTGTAGGGTCATGTCGAAGTGTCAGAAACAAGTCCACAAAAATGAGAAAAAGGAAAGAATACGAAATGTACAGAGTAGACGGCGAAAAACAACAATGGAAAGAGCATTAAAGTTAGAAAAGAATGCAAAACTGCTCAGCTGACCGGCCATTCGACCACACGAACAGTGACCTGGAACTGGAAACCTCAAATCACAGGCCGAGGGGGCGGTGTGGCAGCAATTTTTCACACCAGCCTATGTATAAACCTTACACAGAGTTTCTGTCTGATTTCTCAGACCTTTTATCTGATTTAGTGCTCAGCTCAGATAAAGTAATTATTGTGGGTGATTTTAACATCCATGTAGATGCTAAAATGACAGCCTCAACATGGCATATAATTTTTTCATTAGACTCAATTGGCTTCTCTCAAAATGTAAAAGAACCCACCCACCACTTTAATCACACTCTAGATCTTGTTTTAACATATGGCATAGAAACTGAACATTTAACAGTGTTTCCTGAAAACCCTCTCCTGTCTGATCATTTCCTGATAACATTTACATTTACAATAATTGATTACACGGCAGTGGGGAGTAGACTTTATCACAGTAGATGTCTTTCTGAAAGCGCTGTAACTAAGTTTAAGAATATAATCCACCCACTGTTATCATCTTCAATGCCCTGTACCAACACAGAGCAGAGCAGCTATCCGAACGCTACCCCAACAGAGGTCGATTATCTTGTTAATAACTTTGCCTCCTCTCTATGTTTAACACTGGATACTGTAGCTCCTGTGAAAACTAAGGTCTCTAATCAGAAGTACCTGACTCCGTGGTATAATTCTGAAACACGTACCCTAAAGCAGATGACTCGTAATCTGGAGAGGAAATGGCGTGTCACAAATTTAGAGGATCATCATTTAGCCTGGAGAAATAGTTTGCTGCTTTATAAGAAAGCCCTCCGCAAAGCCAGAACATCTTACTATTCATCACTGATTGAAGAAAATAAGAACAACCCCAGGTTTCTCTTCAGCTTTGTAGCCAGGCTGACAAACAGTCAGAGCTCTTTTGAGCCAACCATCCCTTTAACGTTAACTAGTAATGACTTCATGAACTTCTTCACAAATAAAATTCTTATCATTAGAGAAAAAATTACCAATAATCATCCCACAGATGTAATATTATCTACAGCTACTCTTAGTACCATTGATGTTAAGTTAGACTCTTTTTCTCCAATTGATCTTTCTGAGTTAACTTCAATAATTACTTCCTCCAAACCATCAACGTGTCTTTTAGACCCCATTCCTACAAAACTGCTCAAAGAAGTCCTGCCATTAATTAATGCTTCAATCTTTTTTTGTAAGTATGTTTATTGAGATGTTTTGATATAAGGAAAAAAGAAAGACACAAAAAAACCAAAAAACAGACAACATAACAACAAGGGCTAAAACACACAAATAAGACAAAATATTACACTGCAACGACAAAAATACTACTTCAACATCAGTTGAAGTAGTATTACTAGTAAAATTACTATTGTAAATTATTCAAAATTACTTCAACTGGCAATAAACAGAAATAAAACACTAAGGTGGTAGGCCGAGTTATTGGTGATCGATCAAACAGGACTTTGCTTTAATACATGGTCTAAAAATGGCTGCCACACATCAAAGAAATTACTAAGTTTGTCCGCTAATGTGTACCTAATTCTCTCCATATGTAGTAGAGCACTCAGTTCTGTTTGCCACATTTTGAATTGAGGTACAATATCCGACTTCCAGAGAGTCAAGATATTTTTCTTAGCAATTACCATTCCGAACAAAACTGCAGTTTGTGCAGCAGGGCTGAGGTGTAAAAGGGAAGAGGAAGTTCCAAACAATGCAATTATTGGGTCCGGCTCTAATGTGCAATTATAAATACCAGAAAAATATTTTAAAATGTCCAACCAATAGTTAAGCAATTTGGGACAAGTCCAAAATAAATGAGTGAGACAGCCTTCTCCAAGTTTACAACGATCATATATCACAAATCCTGTGCAGTTTAGTTTTTGAATAATGAAGTCTGTGAAGCACTTTGAATTGAATTAACTGATGCCTTACATTTATAGAGTAAGAATGGATCCTACACAGACTCCTCTCCCACACCTCATCTCCTATTTGCAAACCAAGCTCCTCCTCCCATGCCATCTTCAAAAAGTCAGATTCAAAATTTAAATACTCAGAAAAAGCTTTCACAAAACCAGAAACCAACTTTTTAGAATCCGGGGAGCTCAGAAGAGTGTAAAAATTGACCCCTCTTCCGGAAGAGATGGAAAATTAAGAGTACTCTGACGAACATAGTTTCTTATCTGTAAATAATGAAAGAAATGTGATGCGGGGAGAGAGAACTTGTTCTGCAACTGGGTAAATGATGCAAACTGCCTGTCAATAAATAAGTCTTTGACAGTAATAATACCTTTCTGTGTCCAGACCTCAAAAGAGGCGTCTAAACATGAGGGTGGAAATGCATGATTACAATATATTGGAGTATGGATCGAAGTATCTGGTAAAGCACAACCTTTTTTGTTCTGACTAAAGATTTTAACGCAGTTCGAAACTATAAAATTATTGACCTTGGTTCGTGGATTAGAGGATGAAAAAAGAAGAGCAGGGAGGGAACTATTCTCAACCCCACCACTCTCTATGACCACCCAAGGTGCGGTATCGGCAGACATGACCTTTTTGTACCCTTCCTGCCAGTAAGCAAGAGTTCTAGCATTTGCAGCCCAATAATAAAACTGAAACAGTGGCAGAGCAAATCCACCCTTAAGTTTAGACTTACAGTACATAGATGAACTTTTGATATCCTGTGAGTTTTAAAGCCCCAAACAAATGGTAATACTACTGAGTCGATCACTTTAAAAAATTGCTTATTCAAAAAAATAGGTAAATTTAAAAATAAATATAGAAATTTAGGAAGGGAAACCATTTTAATTACGTTAATGCGACCTACCATGGGAATAGGTAGAGCCCTCCATTTCTCAATGTCCTTTTTCAATTTTTCAACTTGTTTAAGATAATTCAACTTAAACATCGATTTAGGAACCTTAGGCAAAATAACACCCAAGTATTTCAATCTGTCTGTAATTTTAAAAGGCAAAACTTTCAAAATTGCAGTTAAAGCCACAAACTCACTCTTCTGCCAATTAATTGTATAACCTGAGATTTCCCCAAATGACCTCACCACATCTAAAAGTACAGGAACAGATTGCTCAGGATTTGACAAGAACAAAACAACATCATCCGCATATAAAGAAATGTAGTGCTTGATATTCCCCAATCGGACAGGGTCAATAGAGGGCTCATTCCTAATGGCTACTGCAAGAGGTTCAATAGAAATTGCGAAGAGCAAAGGGCTCAAAGGGCAGCCTTGTCGTGTCCCGTGGTGTAAAAAAAGAAAAGGCGCTGATCTATCTTGGTTAATAAGAATGGAAGAAGAGGGATGTCTATATGTCATATCAACCCATGATATAAACTGTTCGCCTAAACCAAACTTCTCCAGTACCGAAGCATATAGGCCCACTCGACCTGGTCAAACGCCTTTTCAGCATCTAAGCTCAGTACTGCGATCTTGGAACCTCCCTAGTGCCTATGATACATAGTGTTCATCAACATTCGAACATTAAAGAAGAAAAACCTCTGGGGGACAAACCCAGTTTGATCCGGATGGATAATTCATCCAACATGTCCATTTAATCTGTTTGCCAAAATTTTAGTGAAAATTTTCATATCCAAATTCAACAAAGCAATAGGTCGATAAGAGGGACATTCTGTTTCATCCTTTCCTTCTTTCAATAACAAAGAAATATTAGCTTCATATAGCGTACGGGGAAATCTTTGAGTATGGAAAGAATGCTTAAACATTCTCAATAAAAGCGGGGCCAGCTTTTCAGAGTATTTTTTATACAGTTCAATGCCAAACCCATCTGGGCCTCGGGACTTTCCATTGGGGAATTACTTAATAGTTTTCGAAACTTCTTCAATAGTAATATCTGAGTTTAAAGCCTCTTGTGCAACGTCATTCATTTTCGGGAGATCCAGCTTCCCTAACCAATCAGTAATATTGCCCCATGATTTCGACATATAGAGCTCTTCATAATATTCTCTAAATCGCTCATTAATAGCTTTAGGGCTAATTAAAATTTCGCCTGATCTTGATTAAATTTTGTGTATAGCCCTACTGGCCTGTAGGCCTCTTAGCTGCCGAGAAAGAAGCTTATGGGGCTTATCTCCAAACTGAAAATGCTTCTGTCTGATCCTAAATAGCTGATCTGTTACTTGACTAGATAAAATTGTGTTATACTCAAACTTCCTTTTAATTATGTCTTGGAAAAAAAGAGGGACAAGAGGAGGCCTTGTGGTCCTGTTCTGTGTTAATTCAGCTTCTATTTCGAACAGGCGTTTCCAGCGTTCTTTTTTTTTAACGAAGATTCAAAAGAAATAATTTCTCCTCGCATTACCACTTTAAATGTTCCCCATAAAATCGAATCAGAAATGTTTATCATTAGCTTCCAAGAAATCTGATATTTTAGTTGTCATAAATTGGCAAAAGGATGTCTCACACAGGAGTGACGGGTGAAAACGCCAGTAACCCTGTTGTTTCGTACCACAGAAGTCCAGGACTAAAGAGGTTGGAGAGTGATCCCAGATCAATATGTTATGATAAGTTGAGCATACAACTTTAGACATAAATTTAGAATCAAGCAAAAAATAATCTATTCTGGAGTACGATTTGTGCACTTATGAAAAATAAGAGTAATCTCTAATCTCTTAATGCTTCAATCTTAAATATGATCAACCTATCTCTAATAATCGGCTATGTACCACAGGCCTTCAATCTGGCTGTAGTTAAACCTTTACTTAAAAAGCATCTCTAGACCCAGCAGTCTTAGCTAATTATAGGCCAATCTCCAACCTTCCTTTCATGTCAAAAATCCTTGAAAGAGTAGTTGTCAAACAGCTAACAGATCATCTGCAGAGGCTTATTTGAAGAGTTTCAGTCAGGTTTCAGAGCTCAGCACAGCACAGAAACAGTTTTAGTGAAGGTTACAAATGATCTTCTTATGGCCTCTCACAATTATACATGCTTCCCTTAGCCTGAAACGCTCGCCTGATATTGACACTTAAGTATGGGTCTGTTGATTGATTTAACTGACTGGCTTCAAGTTCCACACCACATGGCCGCTGGACCTGCTAACCGGTCCTTCCTCGCTAGACTGCTATTACAATCACTGTCTTGCAAGCTCCATGACCTGGATGACTGAGAAACTACACAGAGAGTTATGTAGTTTCCAAGGAGTCAGGTATGGATGGCTAACTCTGTGCCTTAATCCTGGCAGGTTAGAAAACACTAATGACACATGTCATCTGTGTCATTACAGTTAAGATAATTAGACCATTGGAAATATTACAAAAGATTTACCAGTCTTTATTCTTGTAAGAGCTCCAGGTATTTAGTGGTGTAAGCTGTTTTTTTTCCTTTTCCATTTCTCTTCTTTTTTTCTTTTTCTTGTTTTTGCCAGCAGCATTAAGATGGTGTTTTCTGAGAGTCAAAACTCAGCATTTTCAAATATTGATCTTTCTTCTGTGTTGAACTAATTCTTCATGATTCCTCCACAGAGTGGGCCAGCAGAGCTCAGAGGTTCCCAGAAGTCAGTCTACCCAGCAGCATCAAACACAGCTGGACTCCATATTTATGGTCTGTACATGTTCAACATCTATTCTATTCAGTAATTTCTCAAAAAGAACGGCTATTTATACTTCAAACATATTGCAAGTATTAGTTTTTCGTAGTATTAATTGCAAGATAAGACAAGTTAGAAGCACAACTAAACACTGTTTCAAATAAACAATGAGCTTTAGCAGCTGGGCTGGTCAAAAAGATGTGTTTGTAATTTTATCTATACCCATGACCACCTTGACACATATTGCTACAGACAGGTCCTTTAATTTTTGGCTGTCATGGTAGTGTCTAATAAACTATGAAAGCTGGATAAATGATTGGAAAACTTTAGAAAAAGTTATTTATCATATTATTATAGCATTTATTCCACTCTAAACAATGCAAAGTTGAGTTATCTGATCTCAGAATTTGATTTATTTTTTATTTTTTTAAACATTCCAATTTAACAACCTCCCTTGAACATACTGACTACAATTACCATGATGTAGCAATATTCACTCTGTTTCCAGAATCAAAATGTGCTGTGGACTGCAACAGAAATATGATTATGACAACACCTTCATATCTCCTGGCTATTTCTGTCTGTTGTTCCTGGTCTCCCTCTGTTCATTGTTCCTCTCTTCTTCCACTGCACCACCAGTTGAGGTTGTAATGTAACATATTAATTGACACAATACTCTATTCCAGCTACTGCAGGACAACATTATCACTTTTGTGAAGAATGAACTGAAGAAGATTCAAAAAGTTGTCAGTCCAGATTATCTGAAATACTTGGAAGGTCAGAGAACGGTTGAAGAGAAAGTGGGTGAGGACGAGGAGCAGAGGAATAGCAGCAGAGAGGCATTTGTGAAGATCACATTGGACTTTTTAAGGAGAATGAAGCAGGATGAACTAGCTGACCTTCTGCACAAGAGTAAGAGGATTTCTATAAAGATTTAAGCTGCTGGTTGAGCAGGTTGTTTACTAATGTCTAACCCTAAAGTGATAGTCAAACATAAATATAAAAATTCTGGACTGATATTTGTTGTCTATTCTGCTGTACAATGATGCGAATGTTGTTGTGATTTGGCGCTATATAAATAAAATTGAATTGAATTATTCTTTCTTTTAGGAACTTCTAATAGAGACGTCTATTGGAGTGAGTGTAAACTTAAATCTACACTAAAGAAGAAGTTCCAGTGTGTATTTGAGGGGATCGCTAAAGCAGGAAACCCAACCCTATTGAATCACATCTACACAGAGCTCTACATCACAGAGGGAGGGACTGCAGAGGTCAATGATGAACATGAGGTCAGACAGATTGAAATGGCCTTCAGGAAACCAGACAGAGCAGAGACAAAAATCAGACAAGAAGACATCTTTAAAGGCTCACCTGGAAGAGATGAACCAATCAGAACAGTGCTGACAAAGGGAGTGGCTGGCATTGGGAAAACAGTCTTAACACAGAAATACACCCTGGACTGGGCTGAAGACAAAGCCAACCAGGACATCCAGTTCATATTTCCATTCACTTTCAGAGAGCTGAATGTGCTGAAAGAGGAAAAGTTCAGCTTGGTGGAACTTGTTCATCACTTCTTTACTGAAACCAAAGAAGCAGAAATCTGCAGCTTTGAAGACTTCCAGGTTGTGTTCATCTTTGATGGTCTGGATGAGTGTCGACTTCCTCTGGACTTCCACAAAACTACAATCCTAACTGACCCTAGAAAGTCCACCTCAGTGGATGTTCTGCTGATAAACCTCATCAGGGGGAAACTGCTTCCCTCCGCTCGCGTCTGGATAACCACACGACCTGCAGCAGCCAATCAGATCCCTCCAGAGTGTGTTGGTATGGTGACAGAAATCAGAGGGTTTGCTGACCCACAGAAAGAGGAGTACTTCAGGAAGAGATTCAGAGATAAGAAGGAGGCAAGCAGGATCATCTCCCACATTAAGACATCACGAAGCCTCCACATCATGTGCCACATCCCAGTCTTCTGCTGGATCACTGCTACAGTTCTGGAGGATGTGCTGGAAACCAGAGAGGGAGGACAGCTGCCCAAGACCGTGACTGAGATGTACATCCACTTCCTCGTGGTTCAGGCCAAAGTGAAGAAGATCAAATATGATGGAGGAGCTGAGACAGATCCACACTGGAGTCCAGAGAGCAGGAAGATGATTGAGTCTCTGGGAAAACTGGCTTTTGATCAGCTGCAGAAAGGAAACCTGATCTTCTATGAATCAGACCTGACAGAGTGTGTCATTGATATCAGAGCGGCCTCAGTGTACTCCGGGGTATTCACACAGATCTTTAAAGAGGAGAGTGGACTGTACCAGAAAAGACTGTTCTCCTTCATCCATCTGAGTGTGCAGGAGTTTCTGGCTGCTCTTCATGTCCATCTGACCTTCATCAACTCTGGAGTCAATCTGCTGGAAGAACAGCAAACAACCTCCCAGACACGTGAAACAAGAGAATCTGCAGAGACACACTTCTACCAGAGTTCTGTGGACAAGGCCTTACGGAGTCCAAGTGGACACCTGGACTTGCTCGTCCGCTTCCTCCTTGGTCTTTCACTGCAGACCAATCAGACTCTCCTACAAGGTTTGCTGACAAAGACAGGAAATAGTTCACAGAACAATCAGGAAACTGTCCAGTACATTAAGAAGAAGATCAATGACAGTCTGTCTGTAGAGCAAAGTATCAGTCTGTTCCACTGTCTGAATGAACTGAATGATCGTTCTCTAGTGGAGGAGATCCAACAGTCCCTGAGTTCAGGAAGTCTCTCCACAGACAAACTGTCTCCTGCTCAGTGGTCAGCTCTGGTCTTCATCTTACTGTCATCAGAAAAAGATCTGGATGTGTTTGACCTGAAGAAATACTCTGCTTCAGAGGAGGCTTTTCTGAGGCTGCTGCCAGTGGTCAACATCGCCAACAAAGCTCTGTAAGTAAATATGTACTCATTTTAAAGACTTTTGTAACAAAATGATACAGGGAGTGCAGAATTATTAGGCAAGTTGTATTTTTGAGGAATAATTTTATTATTGAACAACAACCATGTTCTCAATGAACCCAAAAAACTCATTAATATCAAAGCTGAATGTTTTTGGAAGTAGTTTTTAGTTTGTTTTTAGTTTTAGCTATTTTAGGGGGATATCTGTGTGTGCAGGTGACTATTACTGTGCATAATTATTAGGCAACTTAACAAAAACAAATATATACCCATTTCAATTATTTATTTTTACCAGTGAAACCAATATAACATCTCCACATTCACAAATATACATTTCTGACATTCAGTCTCTGAGTATTGCACACCTTGTGCTTTTGGGCACTCCAGTGATGTTGCAGCTCTGAAATATGGCCAAACTGGTGGCAAGTGGCATCTTGGCAGCTGCACGCTTGACTTTTCTCAGTTCATGGGCAGTTATTTTGCGCCTTGGTTTTTCCACACGCTTCTTGCGACCCTGTTGGCTATTTTGAATGAAACGCTTGATTGTTCGATGATCACGCTTCAGAAGCTTTGCGATTTTGAGACTGCTGCATCCCTCTGCAAGATATCTCACTATTTTTGACTTTTCTGAGCCTGTCAAGTCCTTCTTTTGACCCATTTTGCCAAAGGAAAGGACGTTGCCTAATAATTATGCACACCTGATATAGGGTGTTGATGTCATTAGACCACACCCCTTCTCATTACAGAGATGCACATCACCTAATATGCTTAATTGGTAGTAGGCTTTCGAGCCTATACAGCTTGGAGTAAGACAACATGCATGAAGAGGATGATGTGGACAAAATACTCATTTGCCTAATGATTCTGCACTCCCTGTATGAAGTGTATTTCTCTTGTCTACATGAAACAATAAAACTATTTTCAATAATAATTGTTTCAGACTAAGTGGCTGCAACCTCTCAGAGAGAAGCTGTGCGGCTCTGTCCTCAATTCTGACCTCCCCGTCCTCTAGTCTGATGGAGCTGGACCTGAGTAACAATGATCTGCGAGATTTGGGAGCGAAACTTCTGTCTGCAGGACTGGAGAGTCCATATTGTACACTGGAAACTCTCAGGTTAGAACTCAGACAGTCAAGCAGTCATTTACCCTTCAGAAATCAAAAGTGTAACTGGCTATTTTTCACTAACTGTAATGTGACCTTTCTATTCTTTTACATTAAAAGAAAATGTCTCGTTTGTTGGCATTCTATTCAACACAACCTCACGTTTAAATTGGCAGTTTCTTTGTTTTTTTCATTTTGACGTACTGCCTTAACACAACCTAAAATCTCACAAAAAACACTTAAAAACAATGTTTTTTATTTTTATTTTTTAGCATTAAATCACCAACATGTTTAAGAAATCATTTAAAACTTTAGCCGCTAATATTAACTAGAGCAAAAATGTACTGCTATTGAGTATAGTTTACCTTTCTTTCACTAGAGGAAGCCAAACGCACCATGACTGTAGTTTGCCATTCATACCACCAGATGGACTGTAGTTTCATATTCATTTCAATAGGACCAAAATTTGTGCAGAAATTTCATATATAAAAAGTATAAAGGGTTATAACCATCAAAAGTCATAGAACACCATTTGCGATCAAGCCAGACGAAACTATATAACATATTTTAACATCCCTCCGACAGAAGACAGAGACGATATGTTATCTGGTTACCGGGTGTTTTTTTTATTTTTTATTTATAAGAACAGTAACACAGGCTACCGTGGACCGTAGCCAATGCCAAAACTACAAGGGAAAAAATGTGTTCCCCTGAATCAAAACAAAAGTTTTTACAGAACCCCCGATAGAACCATGCCCAGAAAGCGACGCAACGTGTGCCGAGTTTGTGACACTGGAAAGTCCACAACGGCCTGAACTTTTTCAGTCACGGGCCATACCTGCCCTTGTCCCACTTGCTTGCCCAAATAGGTAATAGTAGCCTTCCCGAACTCACATTTAGAAAGGTTGAGCGTGAGGGAGGCATCGTTGAACCGCCCAAACACCTCAGAAAGTGTTGCGAGATGTTCAGGCCACAAGGTAAAATAGACAACCACGTCGTCCAAGTATGCCTCGCACTTAGACACTCCACACAGCACCTGCCGCATAAGGCAGGTGCTTTTTTTTTGGCCTGTCCCGTTTGGCTCTTTTGCCATCAGAATTGTTGTCTAAAGGCAAAGAAAGATGCCCAACGGATTTACTTTACCAAACTGACCATCCCAGCCTTGCCGTAATGGTCCATTTGATTCACCTTTATTGTTTATTTTATTTTCACTTACTGAATACGGGACAGACTTGACTGGGGGAAAGAAGGGGAGAAAGAAAGAGGGAAAGAGAAACAGCTGAGAAGAGGGACGGGGGAGAAGGGCAAAAGACAAAAACCAACAGAACGGGCAGAGAAAAAAAATGCATATATCAATCACCTGGATCACCTGCTGAGAAAGATAAAAGAAAGCAAGCAGAAGAGAACAAGAGTAATAGAATAAACAACATCACAATGATATATGGGAATATGACAGTAAATACTAAATGTTAAACATTATTGTGCAGCACATAAGAGCAACAGAACACAGTGTGCTTTGAGGTAGGAGCCAAAAAGGGTGTAGTTTGTGGGTGTGATCACCCGTGTGTACACCTGTGAGCATGGACGCGCTTGTTTTTTGTTTTTTTAAAAGGTTCCTTCATGTAATAATCTGCTAGAGGGTGTGGGGGGGCCACAGCCCCGTCCTCCAGGGCGTGAAGCAGGTGTGGAGGAGATCAAAACTCCAGACATCCAGAGGCCCCCAGAACACAAGAGACCAAGGAAGACCAACAGAGGGGCAGCTGCGCCACTGTCCCGGAAAGAGCTGAGGAGAGTCCCAGATGAGGGCTCACTCAGCAGCCGCGGAGCAGAAGCCAGGGGGAGTTGCAGTGACGCGCCCGTGAGCTCCGCCGGCAGCCAGCTGCGCCTGAGTGACCGAGCCCCAGGCCGAGAGGCCGGGGGCACCCCACCTCCGAAGTGGCCCGAGCGAGCCCCAGGCTCCAGGCCCCGATAAGCGGCCGCCAAGGAGTGAGCCGGTGTGTACCTGGACGCCCATCCCCGGACACAAAGAACCACCAACGCACCGATGTCTGAGGGGGTCCGCCACTGGCAGGGGGAGTGGTGGTAGGGGGAGATAGGCCTCCAAACCTTGGAGGGCCTGAGATGTCCCCAGAGAGGTGGCGCCTGACACCCAACCTGACATATAGACACAGACATACAGGCACACACAGATACAAACATCCATTCCCACCCTCATGCTCTCATATGCACTTACTCCACACTCAACCAACGTGGAGACAGACATGAAGAGACGTTGTACACACGATCACACTCCCCAAGCGTACTCTACAAACCGGGTCTAGGTGCCCTCGCCCCTGGAGGCAGAGATCTCCAAAGCCCTAGGTGTTAATGGAACCTGCCAGTACCCCTTTAATAGGTCCAGCTTTGTAACATACTGAGCAGAACCAACACGATCGAGGCAATCTTCCATCCGCGGGAGCGTAAACGAGTCTGGTTTGGTAACCGCATTCACTTTCTGGAAATATTGTCCGCTATCGCTACCAGAATACAAGGCGAGCTCCACGCGTCATGACTGGAAATAGCAAGGCCATGCTCAATGAGATATTCAACTTCCTACTGCATCAAGCTCCGCTTTGTGGTGTTTACACGATAAGCGTGCTGTTTTATCGGCCTGTCAGTTTCCACCGTGATGTCGTGACACAGGACAGATGTTTGCCTACGGTAGTCAGAAAACAAAGGTTGATGAGCTTTCACTAACGCAAGGACATCCCTATGAGCAGGGGGTGGCAAATGAGAGCGGGAGGACTCCAAAGTGGCCAACATCTCGCAATTCCAATCTCCGAGCCCCCAGTATACAGCCACTTTTTTCCATCAAACCATCGTCTTGTGGGTGGTACTCTGTGGTGCCCAGAGCAAATTACATCACCGGTGGCGAGCTCTTTGGACACATAACATTTGAGCATATTAACATGACACACTTGCAACTTTCGCTTCCGATCAGGCGTTTTAATGACATAGTTAGTATCACTTATTTTCCGATCCACCTCATAAGGACCAGAAAATTGAGCTCGAATGCTAGACACAGTCACTGGAAGCAAAACCAGCACCTTCTCCCCCGGGGCAAAATTCTGAACCACGGATTTCTTGTCAAAACGTGCTTTCATAATGCCCTGGGCTCGCCTCAAGTGGTCGCGGGCCAACTGCACGACATTCCTTAAAAGCACACACATAATCCAACATATTATCCTCCACCCGATGCGATTCGGACAATAATTTCTCTTTAAGTAATTGCAACGGCCTGCGTACCGTGTGTCCAAAAACAAGATCAGCTGGGCTGACACGGAGGAATTCCTGCTTGGCTTCTAGAACGGTAAACAACAATAAGAGAAGCTAACTCAGAGGAGCGATTGCTTACGTAGCCCCCAAAAACATAACTAAACAACAATCACTTACCTCCCTGACTAACTAAACATGAGAAAACTGTACCCAACTGAAAAGGCGATCCACTCGAACTTCCTCATGACTTGCAGAGCAACACAGGGCATGTCGCAGCCCCAGCTGGTTGGGGTAAAACCGAGGATGGATGATTGCCGTCCTCAACCGCGCCGTCTTATACTCCTGGTGTACCATCTTCGGGATCCACCACTCCTGGAGGCGCACCTGCACACTCACATTTACATGTCATAATCCCAGCCCACGACGGCAGCCGTAACAGCAGTGTGTGTGACATTCCATCATTGTCCAACTGTTCTGACACACACACCAAACAAACAAACAAAAAATGTCTAAATTGCACACTACCTACTAACTGTGTAAATTCTCTGTTATGACTGGTTTTCCTTGGTCTATAAAAAAAAAAAAATTACAATATTACATATCAGAATTTGATGAAATTGTCTATTTCTTCTTAAACAAATAAAACAAATCTCACAAAGTTTTCTTCAGGTGTTTGAGGGTGCATGGAATTTATCCAACAAGTCTACATGTATCTTGTGGACTTGGCATTTGACTATCATTCATTTGTTTGTGACAAATAAAATTTGAATTTGAATGGGTATTTTATCCATAAAAATAATTGAAAATAAGCCTTTAGTGAAGTTTTAACAAATGTATTGGTTTTTTTGTGTGTGTTTATATAGTCTATCAGGCTGTCTGATCACAGAGGAAGGGTGTACTTCTCTGGCTTCAGCTTTGAGCTCCAACCCCTCCCATCTGAGAGAGCTGGACCTGAGCTACAATCATCCAGGAGACTCAGTCCAGAGTTTGTTGGCTGGACTGAAGGATCCACATTGGAGACTAGACACTCTCAGGTATGGAGAGAATGTCTGATAGAGGAGGAAAAGTTGAAAACATCTGCTGTGTCCTACATTCAGTTCCTGATTGTTTCATGCAGATGTCACAAATGAAGGGAAGTGCTTGCTCATTACAGACAATCTAAGGAGCTTGAAAAGAGCAACTGGGCTTTTTCTTGCAGACATTTCATATGAGAAGCTTCTTCAGTTCTAAAATAAAATTTTGGAGAGACTTAGGTATTTAATTTAATTTAAAATTTGGTTATCCCTAAAAAGGGTCGTTGACCCATTATTAATTATGTGCCTCACCACATGAGCCAAGGTGTGAAATAGATAGAAATGTTCAGCTGAGTCTTTCCCTGTAAAGGTAGCAGCCATCTCTGTCCCACATCTTGGGTAGCACTGCTCTGTTCTGTCAGGGTCCCATGTATGGGGTGGGCTATGTTGTCCAACAGGGATGACATCTTAGCCACCATTCTCCTTTCTCCATTCTTACTCACCACCTCCACTGGGTCTAGAGGGCATCCTAGAACAGAGCTGGCCCTCTGGATCAGGCTGTTCAGTCTCTTCCTGTCACCAGTAGAGATGCTGCCGCCCTAGCAGACCACACCGTAAAAGATGGCTGAGGCCACCACAGAGTCATAGGTCTTCAGGAGTGGGCCCTTCACTCCGAAAGACCTCAGTCTCCACAGCAGGTACAGCCTGATCTCCCCTCTTCTGTAGAGGGTTTTTAAATTGTGAGTCCAGTCAAGTTTATTGTTCAGATGTACACCAAGGTACCACAGCCTCAAAATGTCCATACCTTGGATGTTTAGTGGTTGAAGTAGAGGATGTTTTTGGTTGTGGAAGTCTACCATCAGCTCCTTGATTTTTCTTGTGTTGATCTGGAGGTAGTTCTGCTGGCACCAGTCCTCAAAGTCACTGGGTGAGGTGTTCCGGAACATGCCCAGAACACCTTACCCAGGAAGCGCCCAGGATGCATCCTTGTCAGATGCCTAAACCACTTCAGCTGGCTCCTTTCAATGTGGAGGAGAAGCAGCTCTACTCTGAGCCCCTCCCAGATGGCTGAACTTCCCTACCCTCTCCTATCTCTAAGGGAGAGACCAGCCACTGTCGGAGGAAGCTCATTTCCACTGCTTGTATCTGTGATCTTGTTCTTTTGGTCACTACCCACAGCATGTGACCATAGGTGAGGGTAGGGACGTAGATCAGACAGGTAAATTGAGAGCTTCACTTTTGCGCTCATCTCTCTCTTCACCACGACGGACTGGTGCAGCGGCTGCAGCATCAATCCGTCTGTCGATCTCCAGCTCCCTTCTCCCATTACTCACAAACAAGACCCCGAGATACTTAAACTCCTCCATTTGGGGTAGGAACTCGTCCCCAACCCAGAGTGGGCACTCCATCCTTTTCTGGCTGAGAACCGTGGCCTCGGATTTCGAGGTGCTGATCCTCATTCCCACTGCTTCACACACGGCTGTGAACCGTTCCAGAGTGAGCTGGAGGCCATCAACCGATGAAGCCAACAGAACCACATCATCCACAAAAAGCAGAGATGAGATTCTTAGACCACCTACGTGAAAGACCTCCGCCACTTGGCTGCGCCTAGAAATCCTGTTCATAAAAATTAAGAACAGAATTGGTGACAAAGGGCAGCTCTGGCGGAGCTTATCCCCCACAGGGAACAAGTCCGAATTATTGCCGGCAATGTGAACCGAGCTCTTAATGGTTGTATAGGGATCAAATAGCCCGTAGCAATGGGCCAGACACCCCATACTCCCATAGCACCTCCCACAGGACACCCCGAGGGACATGGTCGAATGCCTTCTCCAAGTCCACAAAACACATGTAGACTGGTTGGGCAAACTCCCATGCCCCCTCAAGTATCCTTGAGAGGATAAAGAGCTGGTCCAGTGTTCCGCAACCAGGACGAAAACCGCATTGTTCCTCCTGTATCCGAGGTTCGACTAGCGGACGAACTCTCCTTTCCAGCACCCTTGTATAGACTTTCCCAGGGAGGCTGAGGAGTGTGATTCCCAATGTAGTTGGAACACACCCTCCAGTCCCCCTTTTTAAAAATGGGGACCACCACCCTGGTCTGCCAGTTCAGGGGTACTGCCCCTGATCTCCACGCAACATTGTAGAGGCGTGTCAACCAGGACAGCCCTACAACATCCCGAGCCTTCATGAACTCGGGGAGGACATCATCCACACCAAGGGCTCTGCCACCAAGGAGTTGTTTAACTGCCTCAGTGACTTCGCCCCCGTAAATTGGCGGGTCATCCCCCTCATCCCCAGACTCTGCTCCCTCCTTGGAAGACGTGTCAGTGGGATTAAGGAGGTCGTCCAAGTATTCCTTCCACCGTCCGACTATTTTCTCAGTCGAAGTCAGCAGCGCTCCACCAACACTATCCACAATACTGGTAGACGCCTGACAGTTTACCAGAATCTCTTTGAGGCAGTCCAAAAGTCTTTTTCCATGGCCTCTCCGAACTCCTCCCACACCCAAATTTTTGCTTCAGCCACTGCCTCAGCCACAATCCACTTTGACTGTCGGTACCTGTCAGCTGCTTCCAAAGTCCCACAGGCTAACCAAGCCTGACAGGATTCCTTCTTCAGCCTTGTGGCTCCCTTCACCTCTTGTGTCCACCATTTGGTTTGGGGAATACCACCACGACAGGCACCAACCACCTTGCGGCTGCAACTCAATGCTGCAGCTTTGGCAATGGAGATGCTGAACATGGTCCATTAGGACTCAATGTCCCCAGTCTCCCTCTGGATGCTGTTGAAGCTCTGCCGGAGGTGTGTGTTGAAGATTTCACGGACTGGGGCCTCTGGGAGGCGTTCCCAGCACACCCTCACTACATGTTTAGGCGCACTGGGTCTGTCCAGCGTCCTCCCCAGCTCAGCCCCTCTCTTTACCTGAGTGTCCAGAACATATGGTCGCAGGTCTGGTGATACGATTACAAAATCAATCATCGACCTGTGGCCTAGAGGGTCCTGGTGCCACATGCACTTATGGACACTTTTATGTTCGAACAAGGAGTTTGCTATGGCCAAATTGTGATTTGCACAGAAGTCCAATAAGAAAACACCACTTGGGTTCAGATCAGGGAGGCCGTTCCTCCCAATCACGCCCCTTCAGGTCTCGCTGTCATTACTCACGTGAGCATTGAAGTCTCCCAGTAGGAAAACAGAGTCTTCAGGTGGAGCACCCCACCCAGGGACTCCAAGAAGGCTGGGTACTCTGAACTGCAACTCGGCGCATAAGTGCAAATGACAATCAGGACTTGTTCCCTGAACCTAAGGCGCAGAGAACAAACCCTCTCATCCACCGGGAAGAACCCCAATGTACAGGCAGCAAGCCGAGGGGATAGTAGCATACACACCCCAGCCCGCCAGACTGAGACAGAGTCCACCCCCTCTCCAGGAGACTGGTTCCAGAGCCCAAGCCATGCGTAGAGGTGAACCCGACTATATCTAGCCTCATGCACTAACTCAGGCTCATTCCCCACGAGAGAGGTGACATTCCATGTCCCAATTGCCAATTTTGGTAGCCGGGGATCGGTCCGCCAGGGCATCTGCTCCTGGCTGTCTCCCGGCACACAATGCACCCGACCCCTACGGCACCTCATGCGGGTGGTGGGCCTGCAGGAGGATGGGCCCATGTCCCCTCTTCTGGCTGTGGGCCTCAGTAAACCTATCCGGGGCAGGATAAACTGTTGTCTCAATGTTTTCCTCATAAGTGTATTCGTGAAAATGTTGCACTGTTCCTTTATCAGTGTCTAACAGTATGTATATGAGAGCCATGTAATGTCCAGTTGTGTATGCTGAAAGAGACTGTGCTGGTCTGACACCCCCCCCCCCCCCCCCCCTCCTCCTTTCAGGGTGGAGCCTGCTGGAGTCCAGTGGTTGAGACCAGGTCTGAGGAAATGTAAGTGGGTTTTTAATGTGATTCATGAAAACAAAGCAGCACACATTCAACCATCTTCAAACTGTCACATCACTCATTTACATCTCTGATGTCAGGAGTCAATCAATGAACAGATGATCAATAACTGCAGCTGGATTGTGTTTGTTCTCTCCATCAGATTCCTGTCAACTCACAGTCGACGCAAACACAGTACACACAAAACTCCAACTGTCTGACAACAACAGGAAGGTGGCACATGTGGAGGAGGTTCAGTCATTTCCTGATCATCCAGACAGATTTGATTACTGGCCTCAGCTGCTGTGTAAAAATGGTCTGACTGGTCGCTGTTACTGGGAGGTCGAGTGGAAAGGAGGGGTTTATATGTCAGTGAGTTACAGAAGAATCAGAAGGAAAGGAGACAGTAAAGATTGTTGGTTTGGTTACAATGATCAGTCCTGGAGCCTGATCTGCTACGATGATGGTCCTCATTCTGTCTGGCACAATAGCAGAGGAACATCCATCTCCTCCTCCATCTCTGTCTCTAACAGAGTAGCGGTGTATGTGGACGTTCCTGCCGGCACTCTGTCCTTCTACAGAGTCTCCTCTGACAATCTGATTCATATTCACACCTTTAGCACCACATTCACTGAAACTCTTTATCCTGGGTTTAGATTCAGGTATCTTGGTTCCTCAGTGTCCCTGTGCTGAGCTGAGTTTAAAGTAGGGCTGCTCAATTAATCGAATTTTAATCTCGATTACGATCTGGGCTTTCAACGATCATTAAAAATGACCGAGCCGATTATTAGCCCCTCCCTCGTGCTTTACTCTCGCGCTGCTCCGTGTGGCAAATCGAGCGCACCTCCCTGCATTTCGAACACGCGTCACAACAATTAAGAGCAGCGGTCTCCAACCTTTTTTGCGTCACGGACCGGTTTATGCCCGAGGATATTGTCATAGACCGGCCTTTAAGGTGTCGCGGATAAATACAACAAAATAAAACTAGTACTGGTACCGAAAAAAAGAAAATTTATTCCTAACACACGTGAAAAGACCAAGGAAAACCGAGTAAATGATAAAAATGATAACAAAATAACGCTGAACACTGATAAAAACCCTGAAAACTATACATTTCACACCTGAGCCTCAACTCTCGCGGCCCGGTACCAAACGATTCACGTACCGGTCCGAGGCCCGGGGGTTGGGGACCGCTAATTAAGCGGACCCGAGGGAAGCTCGGAAAGCTAAGCCGAAGTTATTTGGAGAGGAGAGTGACTGCCATTGGTTGAAAAGAGAGGTAAAAAAAACTTCAGTGGTGTGGAAACATTATGGGTTTGAGGGGTCAGACGTGGATCAAGTAGACACAGTGTGTAAACTTTGCTACAGTGTAGCTGCACCACAGAGCAACACTGCACAGTTCACTAAACACAGATGTTTATACTTTTCATTTATTTTTATTTTGCAAACATTTGCACTGTTATCAGTATTTGCACTATTTTATATTATTTTTGACAATCTTTAAAGTCATTATTCAACACGTTGTTATTGTTAAATAAATATCGTCAAATAATCGAGATCTCAGTTTCAGTGAAAACAATCGTGATGATCATTTTTGCCATAATCGAGCAGCCCTAGTTTAAAGAGTGTCCTCCTGTTAGAGAAACACTCTGACTGTTGAACAGATAGTTCAGTCTGTACATGTCTCTCTTTCACTCAGAAACACGTTTTCAGATTCATGGATTCAATCAGTTGATGTTTGAAACTGTTCTAAATGATTCCTTGTAAACTTCTTCCTCTTCAGTCCTTTAAAGATGGAAGCTCCCATTATTACAGGATCCACATGTTGTTTTTCTGTCTTTTTACACTCAAAGCTTCAGAGTGAATATCAATATGTTGTTTTTCTCTGAAGCTCAGTTCACAACCAGCTCCTCTGCATTTTCAACAAGTCTGAGCTCATTAAAATGAATCCAAATGTTTGATTTCTCTTTCTTAATGGGATGTTTCCAAACTCTCCACATCTTTTACTCATTGTTGGAAGCTCATCATTTCAAAATGTTTCAGCCATATAAGCTGAAAATATTGGCTCAATTGTTTTGAATGCAGTTCAAGCAGAATATGATTGTATTGTACTGAGGGATCATAATGCATGCGGCTTATTTGAAACTAGTCTTGTGTTTTTCCCATTTTGAACAAGAACAAGAACATGGTGCAGGATGTTGGTAACAGCTTCGTTATCAAACTCTTAGAAACATGTAAATATCTGTGTTTAGCACTGCGTATGTTGTGTATCACTTTAGTTTGTATGAAACATGAAAAATATCACAAAGGGTCCTGGTGAAGAATATGCTGGAATTTGGTGACAGAGATGCTCTGTATCTCATTGTACAACTGTATAGTGACAATAAAGGCATTCTATTCTATTCATTCTATTCTTTGACGTCAAACTTTTAGAAGCCGTTTCATTGTTTATCATGCAGCTCTAGTTTGATAAAACGCTGCATCAAAAACACAGGAAATAATGTCACATGTTTATTTCCACAAAGCAGAATGAGTCTATTGCTGACAATAAGTGATGTACAAACAGAGTGAGCATTTCTGAGCCCCCCAAAATAAACTGAGAAGTTCACTAAATGAAAAATGGACTGTGAGCTCAGTTCCTTCATCATTAGTATGTATTATATATGTCTATGTATTTTATTACTATAATATATATCAGGTACCACTGCTGCTAGTTTCAATCATTGTGCAAATGTGCTGTTTATAAGGTTGGAAACCTGCAGTCAGCTAAGACTGAAGAAGTCACCTGGATCAGTGACCAAACGTTTCTCCCACTGAAAACGTCCAGATGAGCAGAATCAACCTTTTGGGATCAGCCAGCAATGCAACTGTCAGGGTTGCTGGGTCATTGACCCAGTGATTTCAGTTTGTTCATGTTCAGTTTATTTTGCCACATCAATGTTGTTCTCACTTCCTGTTTTTCCCGTATCAGCTCGTCTCTCATGTCGTTAGCCAGATTATGTTCAGCTGTGTACTCACCGGTCTCTCATTATCATCCGCATCAGTCTGTGTATTTAAGTCCTCAGTTTCCTCCAGTTCTTTGTTGTGTCATTGATGTTGATGTTGTCTCTCCGCATGTATGTTCAGTTCAGTCACCCAGTCAGTCAGTCATTTCAGTTCATGTTCTGTTCATCCAGCCTACCTACAATAAAACACCATTAACACCATTATCCTGCACCGTGAGTCCAGCGTTTGGGTCATGTCTTCCTCACCTCCACACACGACATGCCTGACAGAATGACACGACCCGTGAGCGGCAGGAGGCAGAGCTCTCCTTGTGGGCAGAAAAGTTTAAGGAGAGACAGCCACCCGTCATTAGATTTACTGCAGAAACTGGATCAAACTGGATCCAACTGGAGCTCTTGTTGGGATCCAGGGTGCAGCACGTCTGTGCTGAGCAGAATGAATAAAGCCAATAAGATGTCTCTGTATGAGGAGGCGGGGTCACAGGAGGTTCACAGAAACTCTGCAGCAGCATCATCAGCTCACATGGAAACTTTGATGATTCACTTCTGTGGTGTTTTTACAGAAACACGTCACAAAATTAGCTCCACCTGTTTTGTGAGCTTTGAGTTTCTTGTCTTCATCCTGGATTCTTGTGTTGCTGTTTTTACACACAGCAGATATTTCCTGGTTGCTTCCTTAATGATCACATGAAGCTTTCTGAAGCTTGGATTGAAAACGCTTCATTACTCAAAGCTTTCCAACACAGGCCTCTGTGCTGCCATCTAGTGGAAAAACATATGAAGTGCAGCGTGAAGCTACATTTATTTATAACATACTATAACCCATATAACTATATGTATAGTGTATTATGTAGGTTTTAGAACTGAGGGGTAAATTGCTGATGGCTTGGTTTTTATTTATGTTCCCCATGGTTCACCAGCTCTCACACAACACCAATGATCCACGTCCTTATAAACCTCCGAATCAGGTCCTGAAGCAGTGACGTCCTGAGTGAAGACCTCACTGATCACATGACTCTGGTCACCTGGACTCAGTGTTTCTGAAGCAGTGTGCTGGGTTTTTAAAAATACGTGGCTGCTGCCTGATGTTGGGCCCACAGAGGAAGACGACTGACTCACTCGTCTTCACTTCCTCCTTAAACATGTGGAAGGAGAGCAAAGTGCTGCCAGACTCTTATTTCTGACCAGTTCTTCATCTTCATCACAATCTATTTATTTCCGATGGTGTCTTCAGTCTGAGGGTTTGAAGTTTCCATGTCTGCGTGATGTGTGGTGTGAAGGCTGCTGGTTAAACTGGGACGAACTGTTTAAAGCACTGAGTGCTCATAGAGAGATGCTCCATGAGTCCCATACGAATTACCCACGTCTCCCACTGGGGAATTGTAGAAAAGGGGAGAGGCAAAAGGGGTACACTGTATTTATAGGGTTGCACCAAAGAAGAACAATGAGGAGGGGCTCTAACTGATAATAAATATAACTACAGGCTTGAAGGTATACAGTCAGGTATAAAGAACACATTTTGTGAGAAGTGTTGTTTGTTTATTTACAAAGTTTGCTGTTTCAGTGATAGTTGTACATCACGTTATATCACTTCAAACAGAGGTGATCCAGTAATGCTGCACCAATGAATTAGACTAACTGTTCACGTTAGCTGAAGTTATTAAGTCAGCTAAAGAGTTGGATGCTGTGTAAGACATAAATAAAGCTAAAACACAAAGGTTTGGACATTTGCATGTTGCCCTACTGTAGGGGTCTCTGCAAGCATACAGGGCTCTGACAGGGTACAAGATGACAACTTTGTCAAAGCTGAACCAGGGCAAACTACCAGGGTTAAGGGTTAACTGATGAAAAACTTAACTGGAGAGCTCACATAAGATATATTCATTCCAAAGTATCACGAAGCATTGCAGTACTAAACAAGGCAAAACAGGTATTCGACAGAACATCACTTCATATTCTCTACTGTTTACTGGTTTCACCATACTTAAGCTATTGTGCAGAGGTCTGGGGCAATAACTATAAACCACATTACATTCACTTTTTACTCTTCAAAAGAAAGCAATTCGAATCATCCACAATGCAGGTTATAGGGAACATACAAACTCACTATTTTTGCAGTCTGAAATATTGAAAATTGATGATATAGTGAAATTCCAAACAGCACAAATTCTATTCAAAGCAAAAAATAAAGAACTGCCAGGTAATATTCAGAGTATGTTTTTTTTGAAAGAAGGAAGTTATAATTTAAGGGGTTTTTGTAACTTCAAAACAATGAAGGTACGTACTACAAGAAAAGGCTTTTGTGTTTCTGTTCAAGGAGTGAAACTATGGAACAAACTGAATATGGAATTAAAGCAATGTCCAAACATAAAACTGTTCAAAAAGAGTTATAAAAATATGATCTTCTCGATCTATAAAGAAAAGGAAAATATTTAAATTAAGTGAATGTCTCTATTTAAAAACAAACAAACAAAAAATTCATGATGTGATATTATAGTATATCAGAAATCTGTTCACTATTTTTATTACAAATTATATCAGTAAGGAAGCTGACTAAATATTCACTGATAATTTATGGGACAGGGGTGGGATTAAATAAGTGTATACTTCTTCCCACTCCCTTTCAACATGTAAATTAATCAGAATGTTTTTTTGTATGTAATTTGTATAGTATATTTTTTTTCTCTCATTTCTTTTCTAAATG